TTTAAGTCATGATTATTCGTACTTTGTACTTCTAGAACACTCTAGTAATCAAACTGTGAGAATGAAAATAGAATCAAGCATTTTTATGTGTTCAAACAATTTCTAATAAACATCATCAACAATAGTCGCTACTATTTTGATAAAATATTTCATGATGTCTACATTGTAATTACCTCACAATGTTATTCTTTATTGTTTTTCGAAATTCATGCGCTTTAGACAACCCAAGCTTGAGTTGTGATTATTCATACATTGCACTTTTGGAACTAACTGTCAGTTTGCAAGTGAAGATTTCATTTTGAACTTCTCAGTCAGCCCTACCTCTCTTTTATACATATGTTCGCCTCCCTAAAAAATAATCTGACTACAAAAAAAATATTCCATAGTTACTCATTTACTAAATTGAAGGTAGTACCAAAAGGAATTTGTTGAAGCTACGCATATTTTTATTGATAACATTTGTCATCTGTGTTAATAGCAGTCTTTTACACCATTCTATTCAGTTTTGTTACGTATGTAATTCTTATATGAGTTCAATGTTTCAGAAGTATTACAAACAAGAGAAAAAAACGTGATTTCAGTATTTTTCCGTACGAATGAAGTACGATTACCGTATCATGAAGTACCAGTGAAATACGATGAATATTATACTTTAGTCATGTGTCACTCGTACTTGATTCATACTTTGAAGTACTGGAGTCACGATATTTGCTCTTTGATTAAGAGCCACACTCAGCATGTTCTCTTTTACATAAGTAAATGATAATTATTATGACATGAAGGCGTGTACGTGTGTGTCGAAAGTACGTTTGGAAATATATAGAGTGTTGTTAATGTAAGTGAGGATAAGTGCTCTCTTCTCCACATGAATACCTACAACTAACTACCTACATTCACATTCATATCGACAATTACACTCCATAACCACACTTCATACCATTATAATGAAACTCTGCAGCGTATATACTATTCTCTAAAAACGTTTTTGGATGCTGTGGATGAAAAATGAGCGTGAGAGGTGGAATGTTCGTCTTTTCTTCATCCATACCTCTTACAAACTCTACAGATACACAACCAAGTCAGCATACACACCGACACTCTACACCCACACCCAATCAATTTGAAAAAAAAAACACATGAATTTGAGCTTTTACACCTTATTTGACAATGACACAATTTCTAATGAAGGAATGTATCTGATGGTATGTATTAAATTTTTTAATAGATTGTAGATAACAACTTTCATTATCATACGTTTCAGATTTCCCATGTGTACTATATTTCTTAAACACTTGGATGCCTAAGTTCTGAATATCAGAAAAAAATACCACCGAGCTGCTTGATAATCTAAATTATTTTGAATTATGATTGCCTCCTGTTAAATGACTAGCATCAATAGTGTGTCATTTGAATGAAAAAAAGCTTTTCATATGCAAGAAAATATTTAACAACAATGTCGATAATTCATCAATCTTGAAGATTTATTTTCTTTTTCGTATCTACTGTGTAAAACTTTTGATATGTTTGCATCGACAATAGCCGGTGTCAGTATGTTCAGTTGTAGATATAGTGTGTAGCGTATGACTTATGGGTGTCATGTGCGGGATGTGGTGTACAAGATATGAGTATGTAGGTATTGGTGTCGTGTATGACATATGGAAATGGGTAGGTGTCTTGCCTTCACACACACAACTTACCGATCCCACAAACATATTCAGGTCCATATCCATATAGCCAAATTTGCATTTACATCTCTATCTCACATCCAACCTATCCTTACACTTCACACCTATACCGACACCTTAACTACACCCACATTCATACTTAGCCCCATAGTGCACTTAGGATCAAATTCACACCCACACATCTACTGTCACAACCGCAACCGCTCTCATGTTCACCCACATCCCACCCCGTGGCGATGGGCGGTTTTGGAAGTAGATAAATATGTATAAATGTGATTGGTTGATGAGATGAACAGAAGAAGCACACAGTCACACACCCACATTCCCACCAAAACCAACACCGATACGCTCACCAGCATCCATACTCAGACTTGCTTTGGCACCGGTCGTCGTGTATTGGTTTGATTTTAGTTTTGATTAGGTTTGTAAAATAGTATGTTATAAAGAAAGAGTTGAATGTTCAGTCGATGGTCAAGCGAATTGCGATGGCAAACGTTACTTGTTTTACGATAAAGTGTCCATCGGATACGTAATAAGCTACTTGTTCGAAACATGTTCCGTAAAATGATACTTAAACCTGCCATCGACATATTGAGCTGAGTTTTTCACATAGTATTCTGCAATATCTACTGGTTGAATCTTACATATGTTGGCGATCAAACTAGACTTTTAATGTTCATCTTACCTCTTGTCTTTTTAATAAATTACTCTTCAAAATATGACTTAATTCGATTTCTCTTTGGGAGAAAATAACTGGTTTTCTTTAAAAATTGTCAAACAGAACTTCGTTTTTACATAGGCAATCTATTGCATCGAAAAATTAACAATATTAGTTATTTACAACAGAAAATTTTCAGAGACAGTGCAAAAGGCGAGAAAAAATTGAGAGAAAGAACTCATCCTACCCCATTCTCATCCCTAGTCGTGCCGTCTGAATTCAAAGGTGCTATGAACCACATTCAGCAGGTTTTCTCTCAAAAATACGTGAATGATAATCATGGCAAAAGGTTGTGTCATATTGGATGTGAATGAGGATAAGTGTCCTCTACACCACATAGACACATGCATACATTCCTTCACGTGGAAACCAGCATTCACATACATAACTATACCCGTCAGCATCGAAATAGTACTAAGACTGTTTCTAGATCCTGGCCTTCCAGTCTAGAGAAAGTTGAGCTTCATGAAATACTGAGCAATCATTTTATGGGGGCGGATGCCAGTACTGATCTGGGTGCGGGCAGGTTGATGTAGGGTTTTATGTGGTGAAGAGAACACTTATCCTTATTCTCATCCATATTCACATCGTACACACACACATGCCCTACTTTCTCTTTCAAATAGTTGTTAACTAATTCTACTATCTTCAATATCTTGACACATATCTTTCTAAAAATGTAAATCCATTCGATATAGTTTATTAGGAATAAATTTAAAAAAACAACAGCAGCAACGAATATAATTTTTTGTCATATACATAGATATAAGAGAATAGTTGTATTATAAAAATATTAATTTGCTAGTTTGAAAGTATTTTTGTCTATGGAATACTGTCTATTAGTTTTAGACGTGTATAAAAACAAAACAAATTTCAATATTATGGATCGGTTAATTGTTTGACATGTGAGATGATTTATGAAGATGACGTTCACGTTCAAGATATTGCCTAAAAGAAAAAAAAAGAAAAACAAAATGGAATAGTGTATGAAATATAATTTTACCGGCGCATATACGAAATTAATTGTTGCTTTCGATCAGAAAATGATAAATTTGGATCTAATGGCCATGTAAAATTTTCATCATTATGTTGTGTCATTCGAGATGAATCCGATCTAAAATTTAAAATAATAACTTCAACATATAAACGAATATTAACTTACAATAAATCTATATCAATTGATTCATCGGTTTCAGATGATGATGATGATGATAATATAGAAGATGATTCTTCTGATTCTGATGTCTCTTGTTGTTGTGACTCAAAATGAATACGTCGTTCAATAATATTTTCAATCGTAGTATCTATAGATTGTGTGTGTTGTAAATCAGAAAGAATAATTTCAAATGGAATTTGTGGAAATATGTGTTGAATACTTTGAGTCATATTTGTTAATTGTAAACTCGTAAGATGAGCATGACCAAAACGAAATGGAAAATTATGATTTATTTGAATTGAAAAATTTGGTAACCATGATGAATAACGATTTCCACGAAACCGAAATAAATTACGTCCTTGACCTTGATCATTATTAACAGTTAAATTATGAGCATTTGTTGTAAGACCTGCAAGAGATAAAGATGGCCAAAAACGAAAAGTCGATGTTGATTGAATTGGAGTAGGATCAGTAGGTGTTGTTTGACGGGTATCTTCATGTAAAGATAAACGACAAATTGGACATGTTGTATCATGTTCAAACCAACTTCGAAGACAATTTTCATGAAATAAATGACCACCTAAAATATATATCATTTCGTTTATTTTGATTTTTACTTAATCTAAAATAATTTACATGGTAAACATCGAGCTTTTTCAAATTTTTCCCAACAAATCGAACAAACTTCTTCTAATGTTGATAGATAATTTTTTTGACTATATTTTTGTTCAAGATCATATTTAGTTAATAACGGATATTTGTTTTCCATACGTATCATTGCCATACGATATAATTTATGTCGTTTTAAACGTTGTGTTAATTCATTAAATAATGGTTTTAATTGCATAAAAAATATTAATGATGACATTGACATAAATGTTTGATGATAAAATAACATTTGTAAATGATGTAGTATATCAATGGTTAATGTTAATATATCAAATAAAAATTCAAGATAATAAATAACATTTGAACGATGTTCATTTGATGTTTGTAAATGATTAGTTTGTTGTTGTTGTTGAATAAATATATATTTAAATAAAATATAACTTATATCAAGTGTTAATAATATTGTTTCAGCTAACATAAAAAAAAATATTGATAAACCACCATATTTTAAACCTATAAGAAAACAAATTGTAAATAGACCAGAACATAAATAAAGTAATGAAATTAGTAAACATAGAATTTTGAAAAATGTTTGACGAGAAGTTGATACAGAAACCGATATCTATTGAATACAAAATTAAATCTATAGAAAAAGAAAAAACCATATGAAATTTTAAACTTACTAATTCAAATCGATCTTTAGCCAATTGACAACAAAGAATAGCAATGGCTAAAGTAAAAAACCATGATAACCAAAGAATAAGTTCATTTAGATTTTCCAAACCAAGTACACCAAAAAGAAAACAAAATTTATAAAATGCATAATTCCAAAATTTATCTTTTATACGTTGTAATTCAGTAAAACGTAATTCACCAAAAACTAATATTAGTAACTGTTTAACAGCTAAAGCTATTGAACAATAAATAGCATTGGTAAGTATCTAAATAATTCAATGTATAAAGATTTTTTTATATTTTGTTTTAAAACTTCTTTTCTTTTTACCAGAAGTGAAAATGACTGTGATATGATAATCGATAGTAATGTTTGAATATAAGCAAAAGAAAAAGGTTTTTCAATTGAATAGAAAATTGTTTGATTATTTATCGATTCATTTGTAATTATTTCATTTGTTGAATTAATAATAATTAATGAATCGTTTTTATTTGATTGAATTAAATGATGAAAATAGAAAATATTACCAAAAAATATTGAAGTACTAATTATTGTATAGTATCGAAGTGATGGTAATGGTATTTGATCAAATATATGTTGAAGATGTAAAGGCATGATTTTGTAATTTTTAATTAAAAACAAGAATTGTTATAAAAAAAATAATTTTAATATACGCGATCAGATAATGACACAGACATTATATTCTCGAATATGATTGTAGATAGAATACAAACTAATCATGATGATTATAGGGTCAATTGAAAAGAAATAAAGCGAAGTACGAAAAGAACACAAACGATCCAAAAATATCAAACAACTTTGTTTTTATGTCGATATTTTGTAAGCATGCAATGAAAAAGAAAAGAATATAGTCTATTAAATATCGAAAGATGTCTTACACAGACGGTAGAAATAGATAGAAAATATTCAAATTATTTATGAACACCTATATTCGATGATGTGATTTTTGTACAGAAATGATTAGTTCCTTAAATTGAGCAATATTCAATTTTTATTTTATTCTGTTTGGTTCTTCATTTAAACCTATAATAATATTTTTTGTTTGTATATGTCTTTTTTTTTATTGCATATTGAAATTTTAAATTATAAGTGAAGTTAACATCTTTAACAACAACACGCTTTAATAAGGAATGTTTATAATTTATAGTGGATCTTTACTATTAATAAATCAATAATTTCACGAGAGATTTTAAAACATAATAAAGTATTCTTTTTAATTTTTTTATAATTTTAATACTCTTTCTTATTTCAGCATGCCTGTCATTACGACTTCGAGAGAATCTTTCAACAACTATTACTAAAGAATATATACCCTAGATTGCAAACATCAATCTAAGATCGACTGATTTTAACTCATCAGACTTTTAAAAAAAGACTATTTTTTTCCTTGGCCATTTAAAAAAGACTTATTTGACACTGTGTGAGTTTGCCATTATTTTACAGCGTTAATAGCCATCTTTCTATTGACAAATAAATCTTGATACGTCGTTCATGTATCACGAATAAGAGACTTCAATCTGCTGTGATATTGAAGAACAAAGATATTTTCATTACGTAGAGTAGTCTTCACACAGAGTTGCTGCTCCAGCCATGAATATAATTATGAGATTTTCAAAGAATATTTGATTAGACCAAGCAACTCATCAGAGAAAATTTTTAGGTAAATTGTTGAAAATAGTCGGAATTACAGGTTACTTTTCGACGAATTCTATCAAATCTCATACGAGGGGTATCTAACGATAAGTTGATAAAACAAACAAAGTTTACTCATTTGATATGAAACTTTTATTGGTGATAGAGGCAGTGCTGAGCTCTTGAAAGAATGATCATGCTCTGTGAGATTTCTTGCTAATATTCAAATATCTTCGTCTAAATAGAAAAATCAACATTTACTTTCTAGCTTCTTCGTATGAAGCTCGATCACAAGATCATTAAGGTACGAAGCACCTATATAGTTTCTATTTGCAATTAGAGTTGATCATACATTTATTTATCGCCAAAATACGAAACGAAAGGATTCGAAATTAAAATAGTCTTTATATGGTAGTGAAACATTGGATGGCTACTGTATTTGTTTCCAGGGTATGTAGTTATTGTCAAACTTTCTTATTTGAGCGTATATACATTTGGACATCCTAATGTATTATTTTTTTTTCTTATCTGGTTATAATAATGATGGCTCTAACGAATAATTAAGATAAAAGGAATCCGTTTGAAAAATGAATTTATAGAAGCACATCAATGTCTTTATTTTTTGCTTTTCTCAACGCAACTAGATTTTGTCTTTTCTTTTAGTTATCGATTCAACTGACCAAACAATCAGTCATACATCAAAAGGATTCAAGCGATAGATATAAATTGAGATTCTATGCATTTTAACATTTAACAACCTTTTTTCTCAATCATTTCCATGAAAGAAAGAAAAAAAGATAGGATAAATAAATGACAGAAGCAGTAATAAATTTAAATGACAAGTATTACAGTATAATTGTTCAAGATTCTATAAACTTTTGTTGAGAAAGAAAAACTCAAATGCTGTATTAAAAACAATTAAAGATTAGTAACTCATCTCGTAGGTAAGAAAACTCAAATGAGAACGATATTAATTACATCTTAATAAATAATTTCAATTGACAGTAATAAGAATAACAAAAACAAAAGATCTCTTTCTCACTCTTTCGTTTTTGAAATAGATAGAATAACACCAATAACAACGACAGGATCACTCTCTTCTAGCAGTTGATATCAACTATCATAACTCTGTAGATGGTCAATAGTAGATTAGAATTCACATCGATAATTGAATGACTAATAGATAGTATTTTTCGTCATACAAAATTAGTTAGCATATTTACACAAGCTTCACAGTAATAATTATAGCTATGTTAGTTAATTTTCGTTTATGATAATTTAATCAATATGAATATTTCACAGAAACAATTTCTTATCTAATACAGAAGAGAATGTTGCTTTGTCATTTTAGTTGAAGTACGCTTCTTCCGTCATACAACAGAAACAATGCGAAAAAACGATCAAAAACAATTTGTTGACCATCCTATCGTGTGATCAAAATAAAATCAGCAACAAAATTTATTATTGCTAATAACAAAAATTAATACATACTTTCGTTTCATATCTTGTGCTTTACTTGTTTGACGCATAAAATGTGGACTATAAATAACGGACATTCCTGCTGAAACCATGTTCGGTACCAATTTATGCTCACGCTATAATTAATAATTTAAAATGAGAAACTTCAATTATGAATTCTTATTTTTCCTTTACTTTGAAGTATTCAATAAATTCTTCTAATGTCATTTCACCTTTTACTTCAAATCGATCCCATAAAGTAAACTCTTTGTCAAGATACTAAAATTAAAACAATTCATAGTTTTAAAAAACTGATTGATATTTTTTTCGTGTCTCATTCTTATATACCTTTTGACGTTTTGGTGGTACTGGTTCGGAGAATCCAAAAAATGGTAAAGCCAAATTAACAAATCCATTTCGATATGATTCTATATTTTTATGTTGTTGAACAAATTTATAAACTTCAAGACAAACAAGACCAGTAACCATTGCTGTTGTTGTTGCAATAGCTGGAATAATATTTCCTGCAATTCTCTTGATTTTACTTCGATCAGCTCTTTGTATTTCATAATTTTCAGCTCGTAGATTTGCTGTTGCTGAAATATAATCCATATGAAAATTTGTATCATCATCTTTTTCAAATTCATGTGGTTGAATTTTAATATCAAGAATATTGTCAGGTTTAGGTAATCGACTAAGAAGTTGTTCAGCTTCTATATCGTTTGCACTTTGACCATTTTTGCGCATTGCACTTATATTTTTTTGTCGTTCAACATCAGCTCTTACTTGTTCATCGTTTTCGTGTATTGTTACACCAGCTTTCGGTTTAAATTCAGGTATATGAATTTTTGCAACTTCATCAGCAATTGATTTACGATCAGATATTTGTGGTATGTGATAGATGTGTGCAAGTAAATTTGATGCAGCAACAATAAAATCCAAATGAAGTTTATTATTAACATCAAATTTTAAAACATGTGGACATCGTTTATTTCCACTCCAAAAACGTTCACCTTTACTTGTAATATGATCACGTGGAAAATTATAAAGCAATTGGGCGATTGTATTATGAAATTGTTGTTCAAAAAGGTTTCGTGACTAATAGAGTAATGCAAAAGTTTTAATAAAGCGAATATAAAGTTAACATAAATATCTCTTGTACAATTCAAAGAATTTAATTGATTTTTTTTTGATAACATGGAAGTATGTTCTGTATATTTTCAGATCAATGTCTGTTTTTATTATGATTAGAATAACAATTGGTTTATTAATGACTAAAATCGAGTCACTTATGGTTGTGAAACAAAAATTGTCAGTCGATTTCGGCAAAACTATACCAAATGAAAATTATATTAGAGTTACGTTTCAATGCTTTTGTGAATCTGGTACTGTAAAAGATCGAGAACGTTCTGGAAGATCATAGACAATTACCGAAGAAAAAAAGTTGCCGATGTTGATGAACTTGAGTTGTTGCCAAGACCTGCGCATTCCGCGAACAAATTGTACTTGTTACGGTTTCAATGAAAGGTATTCAGAGCAGTGTTATCCATAGAATGATAAAGACTTTTGTGACAGCTCGAGTTCACAGATGTTGCCAAAAATTTTTCATGGTCTTCCCGAAACGTTTTTGATCTTTTTTGTGCCAGTTTCATAAAAGTATTCAGACGTATATTTAATCCAATATTTATTTCATGTATTTTTGCCGAATTCGACTTGTAGTTTTTGTTTCATAACCATAGAAAGCTCAAATATGATTATTTATAAAACTATTTTTGTTCTAATGCTTATAGGAACAGACACTAGTAGACAGAACAAAACTTCAAAGAACATACTTGCATACTAAAAAACATCAATTAAATCGCTTAAATTCCATAAGACATATTCATGCTAACTTTTCCGATAAGCTTTGGAGCATTCTGTAGAACTATTATTAGAAAATGATTTATATTTACCCATTTGATACAATCAGTAAAACTTTTCGGACGTTCTTCACCAAGAATACGTTTAACATTTTCAATTATTTCAGTTTTGTCATATTCAGAATGATTTTTAGCTGTTCGTTCGGCAAATTCTTTGGGACTTCGCATAAATTCATCGGCCTGTTGAGGAGGAATTGTAAAAAGACCAGCAAAATTATCACGCGCCCATTCAATTGTATGTTCGATTAAATTTGGAAAATTACGTAAAGTACACATTGGTACTGATGGATCAGGTGGATCATTGGTTGATGAATAGGATTCAGTAAGAAATGGAACAACAACTTGAACACTTGCTTTTGTACCTAATGTTCCACTATCGACCAATGGTTTTTGATAATAGACACAACGACGATCAATATATTGACCTTAAAAATAATTGAAATTAATTTATCTTTCACAAAAATACAATATGAGTTGCATACAAATGAGAAAAGTGTGAGCGAACTGAATAGATAATAAGGATATATCGGGTGAGAAGAAATCGCTTCTTTCAGTCGTATTGCATAGACAATGGAAATGTTGAAA